TGAGTCCTTTGTTTGCTCGAATTTTCATTTAATATCAAAATTCTTGTCTATTCGATTTAACATCATAGCACTTTCTCCGTGAACAAATATAATTTCCTAGACAGTGAGCAGTACAGCTGGCTTATCACAATTATTTTTTTATTTTAAAAAATAAATCGACCGACAAAAAAAATAGAGAAAGAATTTCATAGATAATATAACATGCTGCATAAAAAGTCAACAATTTGCAAGAAGTCATCTTTTTACAAATTTGGAACGCGCAATCGAATTCTTTTGAGAAGTCGTGAGCTTTTCGATGTAAATGCCGTGCGACCATGAAGTACACGTTGATTGTGTACAATTAGCAAGTCACCAGAAGTCAAACTAATCGAATTACTTGGATCGACTTCGATTTCGTTCAATATATGGATGAGCGATTGAAGAGTAGATACTTTTGAAAATTCATCTTCACCCATTTCTTGTCTCAATGTAGCCTGATTGAAACGAATTCGCCAGCGACCATCATCAGTCTTGGTTAAAATAGGTGCTTGTACTTGCTGATTTTCTCCTTGCCACCACAGAAACTGATTCGTAGCAAGATCGCGGATTTGTTGTTCAGTCAACATTTTTAAAACATCATCTACATCGGTCAATATAGTTTTTCCACCACTATCATTCATCGACGGTTGGCAACAAAGTAACATCATCACTTGAGCCGGATAGCGAAAGTGTGCACAGTCAGTATGGAGTGGAAAATGAGCATTCGTTGCCGAATAAGCATACTCATTGGTATTCAATGGATCTTCTTCAACACGATAGATAACTGAATCTGCTTCCATGGAACGAGATGGCATACGTAAATCACGAAGAAGTTCACCACCAAAACTTTTAGCAATCGAGAGATAGGATTCATTGTCATCATTAATAGGAACATTTTTCACCACACATATTCCACCACCAAGCGACAAGGCTTCATGAATTTGATTAACAAGTTTTTTTAATTCGTTTAGTCCTCGCCATTGTAACCAGTGAATATACATCCTTAATATTTATTTGTTTCCTTTAATCACATGTTAATTTGCTAACGCATAACGTTTAATTTCGTTCTCTCCTTCAATCTTCGACGACGAGGCAAAGTATGGTTTAGCCATTTTTGCCGAGTCACTACTAGAGGGCGCACTAATGAATCATAGTCATGCTCACCAATCATTCTTTTGAAACTGTCTCTTAAGACTTACTTTCTTGTGTGAGTTCCTCAAATATTTATTACCACACTTTGTAGACAAAGCAAAGTTTCTTGTTGGAATTGATCATGCAGTTAAACTTGATTATAATTGCCTATGGATGTCGCACCTTGCTATTGTCATTGAACAAAATCTTTTCCTTGTATCATTTCGTATCTGGACGAATTTTCCACTGAAAAATATCTGAGGAAAAAATCATGATTATGTTTTACTATTCACAAGTCAATCCAATCTTTTTTAAAAAACTGTTTTTTTTAAACTCAATTGAAATTGCTTATAATTCGATAGTAATCTGAGAAAGAATCATCCTATCGTTTTTATAATCGATCAAAATATTAATATCATCAAATCTAACTGAGAAATTTTCAATGGACTCTAATTAATTATCGATACTCAATCTAACTATATGATTTGAAGTTAAAGCCATCGGTAGCATTCGTCTAAATTTAGTGTATTAGATCAAGAACATTAGACCATGATATTAGAATTGTGATTAACACTATAGAGTATTGAAAATTCATCGAGTTACTGATGTTCATCGTAATCTTATATGTTCGACTTTCAATTGCTCATTGTAACATTACGCTATATCAATAGATGACTTGCATTTATTGGTAAATTTCATATTATCCGATCAGAGTGTTCGAAAGCGTGTGAAGCCCAATAAGCTAAATACAAATGATTTTTTAAAATTGTCTTGTCTAGTGGAAAGTTCATCATGTGTAATTAAAGTAATAGATTAAACTCTTGATCAGATTTAATAAGTTTTTCTCGATTATTTCCATGTACAGAGTTCTTTTTGTCTTGAGTGAGTGTAGGAAAATAAATATATGGAGATATATATACCAACCTATTATCATATCAACTTTATATAAAATACATTTATAATCAATTGTGCACATGAATAGCTTGAAGTGTGGTGTACAACAACAAAAGTTTATTTGAAATGTTCTACTTCAACAGAAGTTTTGATTGAAAATAGAAAAGAGTTCAATAAAAGAGTATATCGACATTAATGACTAATGAGTTCCAATGGTTGAATATAACCGTTAAAAAGAAAGTAAAATATATTCCAGTCTATTGTTCGAAAATAACATCACTCCTCTGTATATTAAGAAGATTGAAGAATACAGATCGATTATCTGAAATATCTTCTTATAGTATTTTAGTTTGCCAACCACTAGCATCATGTGTGTAATATCAAAATCGATTATAGTTTTCGATCTACATGATTTTGCAGTGCTGAGAGAGATAGATCTTACCCCTGAACTCTCGAGCCAGCTTGATAACTGATTTCCACTTGGATTATTTTTGAACAGTTCATATCAGTATGTTTTGCATTATAATCACCAAAACAGATAAATGTTTTATCTGTATATTTGAAAAGAAGATGAAAAACACCTCAAATGAAGTTACTACTGGCTGGTGCTATACCTTGGTACTTAGTGAACGTAACAAGATTTTTGGTTGGTGCTCCAATACCAGATAGAATAAATATATGAGGTCAATAGTTGTTCTAAAGAACATCGATATTAATTATATATGTGTTCAATCTCTCAACTTTATGAACTCAAAAGAAAAGATTTTGAAAAGAATAGATAGAACACTCTTTTCTTCGACTCTTGCATATACTTAGTATAGAAATACGTGTATTCCATTCCATGAAAAAAACTTCTTTCAGAAATGTATTGTCATATAGCTTCCAAACAAAGAATTAAGAATAAATAGAGATTTGAATGTTGATCAAGAGTGAAATAGGTTAATGTGCTTTTACTGATATAAGCTGGATAACTTGGTAACATAAATCATTCATTTTTTTCAATTAAATTATGCATTGCTTGTTGATGTTCTATTGTGAGGTCATGTCAATTCCTAGACAACACAAGATTTTGTTCAATAGTAAACTGAATGGTATTATATTTTTTCTTTGAAACTGAATCATTCGTATATTCAACAACTCTTTTTAAACATGTGTGCAGTGCTTCAAGTCAATTAGTAATACGTATAAAGGTCAATTTGAATTTTAAAATAAAAAAGGCACTAGATTTCTAACTGAAATGGTAGTTTCGGGAGCCTTGAGAACAAAAATATTATGATCTATAGCCTATACAGTCTTCTCTTTATTGGACGGAGGAGGAGAATTTAGAAGATTTTGCGATCCACAGGTCTTAACAGTATTCATTATTATATATGTCTGTAGACTCTCTTTCTTGGGATAGTAGTTTTAGAAGATCTTGAAAGTCTTTAGAAATGTATGATGATGCACAGCAAATAGACTGCATCATTTTATCAATCTTAACTTTAGAATATATTGGGATTGATTAGAATCGTACTATGATCTTTAGTATACGCAGATATTTTCTAAATAAAAAAACATCTTTAATGTTTATTTCGTAACTCTTATATACATATACTTTCTAAAAATACGATGAGCTTTTAATGATACAAGGTGTTAATACAATACAACTAGTAATTTTCTTGAGGATAAATATCTATACAATCCCAATATCTGTTCATATACGAACCGAGTCTTTAGGCTACCGAAGTTATTATAGTGTCGAAGACACCCTAGAACCGCCCATTGATAAAATGAGATATAAGATATCTTATTATATATAGTGAGATTCTCTTCTTGAATCTAATATAGTCATTTTATTGATTGTTCTGTAAAGCTAGAAAATTGAACATTGTACGTAGTTTTCTTTTATAATTATTTTGTTTACTTATCAAATTTATACGAAAACAGATTTCATACATTTGCTCATATTGGTATTACTTATCACTGAAGTGTTATTCAGCCATCTGAATGAAATACATATAATGATGATGGTACAAGATTATGATTTAATTGTTTATTCCTAATAAAGCCATTTCCAATATCTCGAAAGTCAAACAACATGAACAACTGTATGCATTGTATGGCATTAAATCCGGTCTTCTTCTTAATTCATCAATTCGATCACCTATAAATTCAACAATAACATAATGTCCATAGACTGTAACTAAATGATCATCTTCTCAATGATGACATCTTATCATATATTGCGGATTACTTTGTGCTGCATTTAAACCACCTTGACGACTACCGTCTAAAAGTTCTGTAAGTTATTTCAGTCGAAAAAATCCCTTTGTAGTATTTTTTCCACGTCATCCTTAGAACTTAAGTTGACCCGAGTATATTTTGACTTGTTTGTCGTCGAGTCTTTCGCTTCCTCTAGTAAAAGCTTTGACTGGCAAGCATCTGATATGACTGCCGATATCATACTTAATGAAATTGTTTTTCGTACAGACTTGCCAATAGTCAAATGTTGTGGAGAAAGATGGATAGATAACATTGGAATAATTCTTGTATTTAGCAGGGGCGTAGCCAGAATTTCTCTGAGGAGTGTGCACAACACACACAAATAGTCCGAACCATCGCGCATTCAACTCAGAGAAAAATGAAGCAGCTTATTGTGAATCTAGAAAAACCTCTAGTTACTTTATAAGTAGTTTCTAATTATTTATCTGGAATGAAATAATCTATAAAGCTAAGTTCAACCTTTATTCAACAATGAAATGCAAAAACAAATATCTATTCACAATGAAACTAGTAAAAAAGAAAAGAAAGTTCTGTTCATGGTTTGGCGATATTGATTCGCCGCTTGTTCTTGGAAAACATGTCGATTACATGTTCTACATTTAAGTTGTTTGCAATATCACGATGGACATGAATTAAAGCAAGATCGCTCAAACGTTTATCATCAATACTATTTCGAAGCGTTGTTTTTATTCTTTTCATCGTGAAAATGACCTTTCCGCTGTTGCAACAGTCACTGATAGTATTGCAAATATTTCGAATAAACAATTTAAATTAGGAAAAAATGATTTAATTGGAAGAAGTATATCTAAAGTAGTAAAAATGTTTGATGGTCTTTCATTTGCTGGAGTTTTCTTCCATTTATGCTGCCACAACTCAAATTCAGCTTTTACAACATCAATATTGTTCGATGGTAAATCACTTCGATAAAATTCGAATATATCACTTACATCAACTAATGTTTTATCAACAACAGTTGAAGGTAATAAATTAATAATATTAACTATATTCTTCTGATGTTTGCTGAATCTTGTGTCTAATTTTGACAATGTTGCTTCGACAAATATTTCATAGGTATGTCTTAGATAATCAGTAACATTTTTTAACTTATTTATTCGTGAAATTGTGCGCGTAATACCATTATCACGTAAGAAAATGTCCAATTCATTAACAAGTTCATCGAATTTCTTTTCATTATATTTCAATTCAGCAAGCTGTGTAGCTAAATCTTGAATATTATCATAACATTGAGTTAATTCACAATCTTTACTTTGAAGCATTTCTGTGTATGGCTTTAATATTGCAAATACATGTGAAACAACAAATAAACAAATAATAAAATCTAAATCTGTTATATATTTTAAATAAGCCCGAGAATCAGCACTTGTCTCTGAATCACCATTTTCAATCATATATTCAAGTGCTACCACTATACTAGAAAAGAATTGTTTAAAGACTAAAACTGAAGTTTGCTTTTCCATCCAACGATGTTCAACTAATTTTGATAATTTTTGTCGTTTTATATCACAATGTGTAGCTGTTATTGCATTCTTCAATAAGTTTTGCCTTTTAGGTGATGCCCTAATCAATTTTACAATTGTTTTAACTGTACCGAAAAATATTTGGATATTCCGGTCATCACATGCATCACAAATTGCAAGATCTAATGAATGACTGGCACAGTGTACATCAACGGCTTTTGGTTCAATGTTGGAAATAAGTTTTTGAACACCACCAATATGTTCGGACATAACGCTACAACCATCATAACCTTGACCTAGGTTTGTTAAGTATACGTCATTATGATAAACGAAACAATAAGTTAAAACTGTACCTCGTAAATAAGCTAAATCAAGACCGGTTGATCGTAAATAATTAATAACATGTTCTGATACACCTTTTGCTGAATTATCTACAACAGGTGCAAATTCAATAAAATCTTCTTTTATATCTATTTGATTATTATCATAACATAAATATCGAATTGATATAGATAATTGTTCAGTTCCACCAACATCTGAAGTAGCATCAACTATAACTGAGTAGAAGTTTTTTTCTTCAATTACACATTGAACAATTTCTTTTCTTATCATATCACCACACATATTAACTAATTGATTTTGAATTTCTGGACTCATATTCATAGCATTCTTAGGACAAGACTTCAGGTGTTGCTCCAACACCGTATCACCACATTCAGTACGAAAAAGAATTAATTCTTTGAAATTTTCTAACAGAATAAAAAGATCATATATTACATCTACTCGAATGCAAAATTCTATTACCTAGATTACCAATCGGTGTATGAGAAATACCACCATCATCGTGGCCTCTGAAGGCTAAGTTTTGTTTGCCAATGAAAAAGAATACGCTTAATGATACTTGATAAAATTTTTCTGTTTGTAGCTTCTTGTTGCTGATTTTCGTTATCTAATATGAGATCAATAGATTTGTTGGAATTAATGTAATTTATGATGAAATTTTCAGCTTGTTCTTTAGAAAAAAAATGATAATCAGTCTTTTCATGTGTTTGAATAAAATGATAGGCATTGTTTAATGAAGTGAATGGTTTTAACACTAATTGACCAAGTGGATTTTTAGTTGTATCATATACAGATCATTTTCGTTTGAACAAAACACAATATCGACATGGAACTCCTTGAAGAATAAGAGAATAACTTAGCCATGGATATGTGGATAGCCAAGAATGTCGACAAACTGATCGCATCTTTTGATGCACATAAACTTGTAGAAATTGATATTTACATTTGGTGGTGTACATGGTTCTGTCAACAAGGCATACATTTCAGCAGTTGATAAATTGTCCTTGTTAACAAATAAACCGATATTGTTCTTGTTATACGCTTGAACTTCCATACTAACTAAATTTTCATGATCAATTTGTTAAAGCTTTTTTGCCACAGAAGTACTACCAGTTTCAGAAGTTGATACAATAGATGATTCATAGAGAATCGTAATAGGTGATAATGAAGATTCTGCATGTTCTGCTTGTGTAACAGCAGGTGAACTTGGTCTCATTCTTTTATTCGATGAAAAAAAATGTGTCAAATTTAGTTGTTTACTCATCTGAAAAAATGATAGATGAAAGTATGCATGTCACTGTTATAATTCCATATTTTCTACTAAAATTCTTACAAGAGCAAAACTCCAAGGGGTGTGCACGGACACCCTTTGCACATCCCCTGGCTACGCCCCTGTTTAAACAACTAGATGTTTTTTCATATAGATTTATAACTTAAAAGTCATAACAACCGATAATTTATTTTGAAATATCTATGCATAGATGTTTTTTTTTCTTTGTTTCAATTCCAACTTGAAAGTAAAGGTAAACCATAATCAGACATTTTTTTTTCTCTTTTCTTTGTTATTCAACTGTATCATTCGACATTTCAATTTAGTGGTAAGTCAAAGAAACACTTATATATTTTTATATTTCAAACAGATTCCTGAATCAAGAAATTTTTGTACTAGTAAATGTAAATAAAAATTTATCTTTGCTTGCATTCAGTCTTTACTCCGCTGAATTGAATTCGGTCAAAAACGTTGCCGTATACGGTGTATCTCGAAAGCCTCGCATCACTTTTCTTTTGTAAGTCCTGTTTTTAAACTACACAACATTAATTTGGTTCGACTATATGCCTGTATAGTCAAAAGTGAGTACTATATATAAACACCTGTTCAGTGTGATAAAATCTTGAAAATTACATACAATAAAAAAAAAGTCTTCACTGGTAAGAAAAAAAGGACAAAATCATATTATTTTTTTTACAAAGAACTCTGTCTATAATGTGACTGGACGTGTGCATTCACACAGTATATAACAAACACTTCTGTTCTTTTTAGAAATGGTTTGATGCATCAGAATATGGAAATCTTCTATTATTTTCTGTAGATGTAGGTGTTTTTGGCTGAATACATATTACTGATTAAATGCAATAAGACTAAACAGCAATAAGTTTCGTTTTCAGAAGCTGGAGTTCTTGTATACTACAAGTAAAATATTGAGAAAAAGGCCTGAATTGCATCTCAAAGTTCTCTATGTCAATTTTCGAATGAAAAAAAGTTCATTGTTTCAGTCCACAGTCTATGAATGAACATGCATAAATAGGATAGATTCAGTTTTGGTATTGTTGACCTAATGGTACATATGTAGTCCTTTTTTATGTGCGAAATTTTCATTTCATGCAGGGTATCCTTTGAGATATACAAATTTGTACTTTATAATTTAGAATAAGCAATGCAAAAAATTAAGAATAGCTATTATTTAAATAATGGTTCAACAGGAATGTTCTATAAGTAAAGTACCAATGCCATTCTCTTCATCTGTCCAGTTGGTATTTCCAATGTTCATAAATTGATCACGTGATAAACACTTGCTCTTACTTTCATCAACTACTTGAAGTAAATGAACAATTTGTCGTTGAGAGATGTTAGCACCACATTGTTCATCTGTCGGATGTCCAATAAGTTCGAACAAAGATGCGAAGAGTAGTTCAATCTGTTCCAGAGGAAGTGAACTAATTCATGAGCAACAAAATAAAAGAAAATAAAAGGTAACTATAAAAACAAACCCTTGGTGACGAGTATCAAACATATCAAACAAAAAGCCAAGATACGATTTATCTAATCAACAAAGATAAGAAGATTACTTAATTATCTTGATTTAACTCTGAAATTGAACATTTAAAATATGATATCTCTGTTGAGAAACAGGATTTATTATTTAAAGATGATCTTGTGTAAGCTTCAGATAGTATCTTAATAAACGATTTTCAAGATTAAGGTTTCATCATAAAAAAGATTTTCTTAATAAAAAATAAATATTATACAATAGTAAATCTATCATCTCACCATTATTCAATTGACAATTAAGAATAATAAATTCGGTAAATTCAAGAAATCCTTTTTGATCTTTATCACTAAAAATAAATGTGATGCAATCTAGCTTTTGTTAAAATAAAACTTATTCGCTCACCACAACTTAAATAGATAATTAGAAAAGTTATGAACGTTTCCAGTAGGCCAAATTTCTTGTAAAATACTTGTGAATTGTTCTTTCATCAATTGTCCATCTTTACAAATTTTTAAAAATTCATGATGTCGTCGATAAACTTCGTTGTCAACTAAATTTGTATGTCGACATATATACTGACTTTGACTTGATGTTAATGTTGTAAACTCTTTCCCTCTTGTTTGATCATTGGAGAATTTTGACTTTTGATGTCCCATGAAAACTAATGAGATCTAGAAAAGATTTATTCCATGTACACCTACATGATTTTTTATGTAGAGAAAATGAAAGCAAATACCTGATATAATACGAACACATTTTATTCTTGTGTGTGACGTCAATGGAAAACATAAATACATCACATTCACTCAAGTTTGTCAAGCACAAACATCAGATTTATTTTCTTCATAGCTAAACTCAGCAACAGAATGGAATCAATTCCTAAAATAAATGATGACGTACATGACATCATAACATAGTAATATTATTTTTATATTCTATGGTACAACATAGATATGGCTGACATAATATAAAGGAAAGCTGTGATTTCACTAATATGATGACTAACAGAGATTATTTTATGATCGATTGTGATAACAGCTGTCATATTTTAAAATATGACTATTGATTCATAGATCAATATGAATATTGGTAATGTGTCAAGAATTTCAATTATAAATTCTAATTTGTTATTCTTTACAGTATATTATTCTGACAATCGATCAGGAATATTAATTATTTAATTGTTTCTCTTCCTTTATAATAATGAAATGATTTATTTATTGATTAATTAATTATAATAAAAATTAATACGTTTCGTAGATCTACTGTCTCCTTCTTCAGTTTAAGTTTACTTTATAGTAAAATAAATTTTACTATTTATGTTTTCTAATCTGACTATATATGTGTTTTTCCTTTTTTCTTTTCGTGTTGTTTTTCTAATAGTGGAACGGAAGATTAATAACATACAACCTTATCGTCCAGTATTACCGTCTTGTCGTTTCGTTCCACTATTAGAAAAACAACAAGACAAGAAAAAAGAAAAAACACATATATAGTCAGATTAGAAAATATAAATAGTAAAATTTATTTTACTATAAAGTAAACTTAAATTGAAGAAAAGACAGTAGATCTCCGAAAAGTATTAATTTTTATAATAATTTATTAATCAATAAATAAATCATATCATTATTATAAAGGAAGAGAAACGATTAAATAGTTAATATAAATAATGACCTTCCTCAACGTTACATATCGGTCAGGAATCTAAGATTAAAATATACTGCACTATCTCGTTCGTTAATATACTAGGTTTATAGAATGTTACATCACTTTTCTATTTTCAATTTCAAGTATTTAATACTCTAAGTCATTTATTCGATTGCTACATGTATTAATATTCTGTGAAGAATAATAGTTTTTCTAATGCTACAAATAATAACTTTTGAAGGATTCACTTGGCATATCTATGTAACTGCTTTTTTTTTAAACGAAAACAGGTTATTTTACTCATGGTATTTTATATTGTTCAGTAGCATCGATTTGTTCCTTATTTCACAAGGAATAAGTAACTGTAAGTATGCATTACATATCTTGCTTTATATTCTTACTAAAAGTTCAGAACTGTTTTAAAGAAAAGTATATGATTGATGATATTATCGATTACTAGCTGATTGTGTATGCTTCTCTTAAATGAAAATATATATCTGTAAAGCGAAATCGAGAGACGCAAAAGAGATCGTAAATCAAATTGTGAAAACACAGAAAAAATAGACATAGTAAGTTGATTGGGTGATAAGATTTAATTGAATGAAGAATATTATTTTCATTAACTTAGATTCGTGTTAGTCGTGATATATGATCCGGTAAGTAAGACGTTTTATTCTACATTGTGAAATATAAATATAAATATTGATTTAATCGGATCTATATAATTTGTAATAAACCGGTTCTTTTCTGTCATTGTTAAATTAGTATATGTGTTTAATACATACGACAAGAATGATTTTGATTATTACCTAAGTGGTAGTTAAATATTTAATTGGTTTTTTATCGTTCAAATAATATTTGACAATAGGGTTCCTTAATTAATGTATGATCTTTCGAGTATATATTCATAGTAATAGATATGTTTTTCATCATCTTTATTTTGTTTTTAAAGGGAATATCATCTTTAGATCAATAAAAAGATACAACATTCTCATTCAATCCTATCACTTTCTAATTATTCTTCTGTGTATGCTTGTTAGTGCTGACTATAAATGTCATAAATAGTATTACTACTATACAGTACATACAATCAATAATCAATGCGTTAGAAAATTTGCTAGAACTACTGCATTTATAGATGCATCGAAACTAAATATTCTTTTCATTTTCTTTTATGCTTCAGATGCTGATCCAAGAAACACAAAGGCATACATAGATAAAACAAAGTAAGAAAAAAGTTAAACATACAAATAAGAATGAATAGTTAGATAAGATTTTATTTTCAGTAAAGTAGCAAGAGATAAATCTACTGCTGATATATTAAATAAGAGAAACATAATGAAAATTATAATTAGTTGAGCAAACATCTTTCGGTATTGACCTTAATATATAGGTTATTGAAAGCGTTCTTTTCGCCTAATAAGACATGTGCATAGTGAAATACTAAAGATAAAAATATAACAAGTTCGCAAGAAATAATTGGACACTGAAGAATATATTGAATTGGCTCGAAATATAATAATAAGGAATTAAACATCATTTTTATGAATATATACAAAGAAAATGAGTAGAAAAAAACCTTTTTTTCTTGCCAAAACTCATTGACCATAAAGTACTACAATGACAAACGATTCAAGAGTTTTGCATTAGTTTCATTGCATCCGTATTTCGGTGTAGGACATTGTAGAGCGCTCATGTCTTTTTTCAAAGAAAGATCACGATCTATTGTACACATGGTTTTTTACAAAGTGTTTTAGTTGGACATATCAATTTTATGTCATGTACTAATTAGTTTGATTATCGAAAAACCACATGTATAACATGAAAATGGACATGAAATTTCGACTGATCTTATCAGTTATGAAAATTTGCAATGATAAATATAGTCTTATGAATTGAGAACCCTTTACGAGCATCATCGACTTGAAAACAAATATTCATCTTTTTTCTGATTTCGTTTATTTTTCAAAATATCATCAACTGGCTGAGTCACACTAATAACCATTACGAACAGAGAAGACTTTCAAATTTTTAACAATGGAAATGTAGTTTTCTACCTTGTCAATGTGCTTGAAAGTTTGAAAAATTCTTAATAGAATTTCGTTAAAAATTTCGTGTGCAAACATATGTTGATCATTCTTCAATAATTGTCCAAGATGACAAAAACTATGTTCCTAAAAGTAGACAATTTTGACGTCGAAAAATATTCTATTAATCTTTAGTGAGTGAAGTTAAATTGTTTACTTTAAACACATATGATCGATAAGAAATGAGTGTCAGTCGTGAATCACAAACTTACAAAGATAAAATTTGCCTATTTTTTTATGGAGACGGCTGAAGAATATCTTTTTCATATCTTATACATCAGGCCTCGCAGCGTATCGCTACAGTCAACGTGAAAAAAAACAGGAAATCAGGACATAACGTTGATTGTAGCGACCTCCGCTGCGAGGCCTGATACATATAAACCCATATGAAACTTCAAAAACTCATAAAGCATTGTTGAAACTGTAAGATTTTCACCATTTATTAATGGATTTTGTGTCGTATTCATTTACCTATGGAACGTGAAAATCGCAGTTCCCTGACTCTTTTCACTCTTGATTTATAACAAAAATTACGATGGCCATTACACTATTGAACACAAGATAGTTTGAAATGATTTATCAAAGAAATTTCCGTAGTTGAAAATCAATAACTGATCATAATACATACTGTGTAATGCTGATAAATTCTATTTTTGATGCACTCTAGTTTCTAATAAAATTTGTTATTGATCCTTTTTGAAAATCACAATATTATCCTTCTCTTTTCTCTACTCTACTTTGACAAACATTTTTACGTACTCTGTGTATATCCTAACAGTCAATACTGAAATAGCGTGTTGTATAAGAACACGTATATATATTTATGATGTATGTTGATATGAGAACGTCCATTCAAAGCGTGTTTGCACGAGTTGTTTAAACGTGAAAAACTGAAAGATGATTCCAGGCTACAAGGATTATTTTTTCTAGATCTCATTTATTGAACTTTTTCGTTCTTCGTGTTCTAATGGACTTTTTCAAACCATTCTTACCATCTTCGATACATATACTAATCTATCAACTAGGCATTTGCTTTTTTTGAGGCTATAATTTGTGAATAAAGTCTAGATGGCTTCTTGATAACAATATTTTACAATTCATCTTAATTTTCTTTATCATAGGTTGTGAGAAGCTTTGTATAGTCAGATCAAGATTAGAAAACATGCAGCTAGCTATATAAATTGAATACAGCAATATAAGTTTGACTCTTCTCTATCTAATATGGATATCCAAATTAAATGATCATTGTATCAGTGAAAGATTGCTATGCATTGTCGGGAGAGGCTTTCATCAACAACAGTGTTTTAAATACTTTCATCTTATACAATATTATATAAAAACCATTCAGTGGTCTCATATTTCGATTACTGACATTTGCAGATTGCTAACTGCTGTCATTGTCGAGTTATTGATTTTTACACCGACCTCTTGAGAAGTATGACACAGATATTACTCTTTTTCAATTGATCGTTAGATAGCAATAAAAATGTCATAGAACTAGTGCTAATTGAACTGATTTTTAGACTTTTGTAGTAATCTCAGAGATACGAAATCATACCATTTGAAGGAGCGACTGCCATTGTTTATTCACATCACTTTTAACTTTGTGATAGTTCCGCGAGCATCTGCTCGAAATTACATGCGTTGAATCCCATAGCTATGAGCATATGGTGTTCAGAAAAAGAGTTATGTCATTCGTTTCATATTTATTGTCCATCACCAAAAAGACTAATATTTCAATTCCTCGAACCCTTTTTAGGAAAAGCTCAAGTTCGATGGATAGCAAGAAAAAATAATGAAGCCATTAAACTTGATTATTATGGGAAGCTTAGTTCAGTAAAAACCAATACTATATTATGCCGTTGGGTTGCAAACGTGACTCAGATTGAATTCCGTTTGAGGACCTTGTACTACAGCCCATG